AAAATGGTCAAAAATGGCCAAAAGTCAGGCAACATTACCAAAATTGTCACCAGGGTTTTTCAACATAACAGACTTCCTGTTGGGGTTAGGGCTTCATACTGATTGACTTTTTTGTGCGTCCTGACCTGCTACACATGCCCAGCGAATCTTGTCAGTGTAGGTGAAACAACCATCCGACAAGAGTCAGTTGAATGCAAAAAACACTGTGAAAATGGACAAAATGGCCATTGATCGAAATTGGACGGACCACCATTTCCAAACCGGGCCTCATCTTCGGAGCGTTTGAAGCACTTTTAGTCACCACGTCCTGTAGTTTGTGCCTGCCAAATGTCAGGTGTGTATGACGAACCCCCTAGGAGGACTTCGATTTAGAAAATGGCCAAAAATGGCCATTTTTCAGCAAAAATGGCCCGCCATGCTCGCCGTTTTTCCAACATGGCGGATTTCCTGTCGAGTTTACAGAAACATGCTAATGGACTTTTTTGTGCGTCACAAGTTGTTACATATGTGTAGCAAATGTAGTAGTTGTTACATATGTGTAGCAAATGTAGTAGTTGTAAATCAAACATAGCCCCAATGGGAATCTATGAAATATTGTAGGGGGCGCCGTTGAGCGGTGTTGCATTTTACAACTTGGCCCAGCCTGACTTTTTTATTCATCCTGACCTGCTCCATATGCCTACAAAATTGCGTAGCTCTAGGCCAAATGTGCTTTTGACAATTTAGAAGGTGGCGCTGTGGAGCAATTTTTCTATTGAGGTGTGTATTGTCCTTCCAAATTGTAAAATTTTTCACCGGGTCTGATGTACATGGCAATTTTGGTGAGTTTTCGAGTATGTTTAGGGCCTCAAAACCGTGTTTCTTTGGCACGAATAATAATAATAATCCGAGCAGTTCCAATAGGGTCTTCGCACCCTTTTGGGTGCTCGGACCCTAATAATAATAATAATAATCCGAGCAGTTCCAATAGGGTCTTCGCACCCTTTTGGGTGCTCGGACCCTAATTAACATGCTGGTAGCTAGATTAAACAAATTAAATGTTATTTAGTGAGTTTTAGAGGCAGTAGCTGTTTACTGCAGTAAACAAGGGCAGAAATAATTTTGCATCTGGCTGTTTTTTCCTCTAAATAAGTTTGCCTACCCTGACAGATCATCTGTCTGCTTGTGTTTCGTGCTACAAAACATTTCTTTTTGGCTATGCTGCTTGGCTTGCCCCAATTTTTCATTAAATGCATAATTTTAAATAGAGCATTCCACACAATCAATCTGCTCTTCAGATCCTTTTCATGTTTCTCTCTTTCACACACGGCCTCTGGCTGTAGGTCCGCGGCTGAAGCTGCCATCCCTGCTCTCCTCTGTGTCTGCGGCTTCAACACGAATCTATGCTTTAAAGATAAGCAAGCGGTCCTATTCACACAAAGCTGCTTCTGTTCATTCTCCCTTTGATTTTTTTTTTTTTTTACAGCAGCAGTCCCTAATCTCACACTTGAGAGGGAAAATACCTCATTTATTTGAGAAAGTGTGCCTGTGTGTAAAGAGAGACAAAAAGGAATAGACTGAGAGAACATTCTAAAAGACTGAGGAAGAGTTTTCAGAGAGAAAATTCAAGACAATGAGCGAGGGCCACATTAAAAAGCAGGCTGTTCCTCCATAATATGAGCTCGGCCCCTCCTGGCAAAGCAGACAGGGCTAGACAGAGGCGAGCAGATTAACCACTTTCTTTAAGATTAGAGACTCTCGTTGGGAGATTACTCAGACAGGAGGCCAGGCGAAGGACTGCTTATCTGTTCCTGCTGCTTCACGCCAAGCCCTCCTCCACCTCCCCTGCCAAAACTCCCCCCCTCTCTCTTCACCCCTTGGGCAGACTAATGCAAGACGAGTCATCTGTCTGCTCAATGAGATTCCAGCACGCCGTGTTCTCTAGCAACCCCTGGTCTAAAAATATAGCTGACCCTTACAAACACACTCCCTGCACGTGAGAAGGTAAAGGAAACACCATCCTTTCAAATCCCACAAAATCCATTTTTTCTCAGCATTCAATAACTGGAAATACCTTTATCTTGCAATGACCTTTCTACTTGCGCTCTGTTATTATGGCCTGTCCCGGTATGATGGAATAAGATGAGGTCATTCAAAAGAGAAAGGCAAGCAGAATAAACTTTGGACTCCCGGCCCAGTGTGGTCGTGTGGTTTCCACGGTAACAGAGTCCGGGGTATATTATGCAGCCTGTTGGCTGTTTAGTGGCTCTTATCACAGGTAGTTTGGTAGATATGTGCATATGTTGGTCTGTGTTGCGTGGCCCACCTCGATGTCTCGGATCAGGAGCTGTGTTGGCGTTTCCACGGGTGATTTGGTATCAATTATTTTCTGGATGGCACAAGCCCAGTGTACAGCCTCATTGAAGTGCTTGGTGTACAGCCTGTAGCAGTGTTTCCGCCCATAAACTGTAATGCTCCAGTAACCTGGGGGAAAAAAAGCACATACACATACTAAAAAATCACTGCCAGTTTTAATTACTGGCACTAGTCATTCAAAATGCACCACAGTGCAGTTTAGGTCAACACAAAAGGGAACAGCAAAAAGTTCTTTGCAGGGGACGCCTCGCATATCGGCCGTGACTCCCTCTCCCTGACCTCCTCTCTCGGTTTACTGAGGATCAAAGGTCAGCTGTAGAGGAACCTCAGACCACACCAAAACCAAACAAGAACAGTTATTCTGCAGATGTGTTAGGACACGAGCGGTAAACCCTTCAGTGAGTCTCCACTTGGACAACATGCAATAAAAGTGAAAAAAGGCATGCTTCCTCCTTGTGCAGAGGAAGTATTAGACATACCCCAGGCAGCCCAGCTTGATCTGCAGCCCCACGGCTGTTATCAGGCTTTCCTGCTACGTGACTTGGCACAACATCCTTCTTTGTTTAAGTTCTTGGTGAGATACATACTCAAAATGAAGAGGTTTTACAACTGAGATTATGATATGGTGGCATGGTGGTTGTACCTGTTTGTACCCTTAAGTTAACCAGCTGGAGCAGGTCAGTGTTGCTAAATATGAAGCATCTAAATGGAACCAATATTTCATGGTAACAACCAGAAAATATACAGAGGAAGTAAAGAATTTCACGCAAGTCTTTCGTGACAAATTTCTGTGTGGCTTAGGAGGAACACAAAGCTATTCAGTAGTGAAACAGCCAGCGGAGCTTGTGACAAAGCCACTTTTGAAAGCACACTTCTGTCCAGAAAAGTCCCCTGGCATATTGAGTTAGTAGGAACTATGTTTGGGTTTGGGTTTATACGACAGTTTGGGCATTTTAAGTGGTTTGGTGAAGTCAGTAGGACATAATCCTCTCCATTGATGGACAAGCAAACAGACTTAGACAGACGGCAACATGTTTGAGAAATAAACACAGTCAAAAAGGACAAGTCATCCTTGTGTCTTTTCCTGTAAAGCAAAGACTTTCCTCTTAATTCTTTATGTCCTTTGTTTCCCTCTTCTAAGAAAGGGAAGGGAGATGTTCCCGCTGATTACTCAAATGAGAGGTTTCTTGACCAACTTTGAGCCACGTTTTGGACCAAACACGGTTGGGGCTTCCCAAACTTACTCAGAATTACGGCACTCATGGGAAGGGAAAGAGGGCCACAAGACACCACTTCACACACCAAAAAACCCAGAACAGCTTCCAGGGAATTTCTAAAAAAATGTATGCACACTACACCGCACAGGGAATTAACACAGATCTGACTGCAATCTACAAAGATTACGGGCAAGTATATAACTGTGAGTCAGCTATGCCTCAGCCCGTCTGCGTTTGCTTATGCACATATGTGAGTCTCGCTCACCTGTCTCCTTGTAAGTCTGCTTGTCTGGCCAGATGACAGAGCAGAGGTTGGTGAGGACCAGCGTGCCCAGTCTGCGGGCGCCTTTCTCCGGTCCGCTGTAGTAGTCGAGGGAGTCCTGGCTCAGCACAAACCAGTACCGACGCTGCTTGATCCAGTTCCCTCGCACCTCCCGTAACAGCCAACCTTTAAATAGGACACACACACGCATCAAATGACAACTCAACCTCAAAATGAAATAACACATGCCAGTAGGGCTGCAGCGATTACTCAGTTAATCGACAGACAGTTAATCAGCTCGGAAACTGTTAAATTCTAATAGTTTAATACTGTATTTTTTATTTGATGTCTCCAATATCTTATGAGTAAGATCCTCCTGCTTTTTGTGTGCTGCTTTATAGTAAATTGAATATATTTGTGTTTTGGACGGTTGTCTTCTTCTCCAGGCAGAAGACACAGATTTTTCACAGGTTCCTGAACTTTCATAGACCAAATGATTCATTTAAAAAATAATTGGCAGATAAATGCTTGCAGCTCTTGCAGCAACAACCCAGTTTTGACAGCAAAACAAAGTTGGCCCAGTACCTTACTGTAGGACATACACCTTGTATCACAGAGTCATAGCAATGTATTGCATGTCTGACATAAACGTCACCTTGAAGCAAATGCACCAAGTAACTTGTAAATCACAGAAATGTACTAATACTCAGTGGCACTCCTTTATTAGTACAACACCTACACACCAAGGCAGGCAGTTCACTTGAAAAACGTTAGAGGTAGGTGGGCTAGTCAAGGACCTACTAAACCAGTGCTGCCACACCATGTCCTCACTAAGAATAATCCCTGAGGCATGTAATTGTCTATAAAGTTTGCTGCAGTCTGTATGTGACTGCCTTGTTGGGGTAAATACTAGGGGATAAAAATACAGCCAGCTAATAGCATAGGCATTAAAGGCTGCATGCAGCCAACATAATTACCACTTTTGAGGTTGACAGAGTGAGAAAAGGAGCCGCGGAGAGCGAGAGAGAGATACTGGACCAGTGTGACAGAGAGAGACAAAGACATGCTTATTGGCATGCCTGCTGATGTTGCCAGGCCTGACTCTACAATGCAAGGCCGTTGTGTTCCCAAAGTTCTAAGCGTTTGGAAAGACTGCAATAGCACAGATCCCCTGTTGCCAAACAGTGAACCTCTTCTCCTCCTTCAACTATGTGTGCAAATTGTTCCTAAAAAGTATTTCAACTCAGACTGGACAAATAAACTAGTTTGGCAGAGCGCTGTCCAGATGCTGCCTGGAGAGAAACACACAGAGGCGGACTGAAGAGTCCTGGTAGAGGAGGGGTCAGAGTTCATCCAGAGGGCTGATGGAGAGACGGCAAAGGGTTGTTGCAAACCACCTGGGCTGATGCTGGGCTGGGGGGCAGGGCGTACACCCTGTTGTACACTGCCAGGGTGACATATGTTGGGTGGCTGTGCGTGTGACTGCACATGGCTTGTGCATACTTGAGAGTGGTTTTAAAGGAACAATTAGGCAATGTACCTTCAGCCTCCAACCCTGTGAAAGCAGTAATGACGCCACGCCAGCATCACAACTTCCTCTGTGGTTAGCAAGCTGTGTGCCACCTGTCAGCCAGCGCTCATTTCGACTGCATCTTTCTTCTCCCGTCCTCTCACTCTCTTCCTATTTGCTTTCATCTGCCACTTTTCTCCTCTCTCCCTGTTTTTAACCTTGCCTCAGAGTGGTTTTCCCAGGCAGTGCAAAGATCCCACTGCCTAGCTGCTGCTCCGAAATAAAAATAAGAAGGAGAGGAGGGGGCGAAGGCTCAGCCTCTCAGGCTATGTTTCCTGTTTGAGAATGCCTCTATATGATATAAGTGGCAGGTTTGAACCCACCATAAACCCACCCAATATAGCCCAAAGTAAAAACCCTGGAGGTACTTAACACCACATCAGAGGGGTCAGCATCAAAACCCAATGTGAAAAGGATAAATAAAAATCATGAGGTAAGCTGGGCTGAGCCTGCTGACAGACTGGATGTGGGATGCTGTTTGCAGACAAGCTGACTGGGTGAGAAACATAGCGAGAAGGGCAGGCCTGCTGCCCTGACGCCTCTGTCACAGACAGTGGGATGTCCCACAGATGCTGCTCTTTTTGGGGAAATTTAAGCAGTGCAATGAGAAGAGGCAAAAAAAGGGGGAGAGAGACAGAATGAGAGAGAAAGAGCAGCAGAGTCCCTAGACCCCCTGTATACCCCTCCCATGGTCTTCCATCTGGATCCCATCTCTGTAGCCTGCTAATGTCTCCCCTGGGGGCCACGGCTCGCCCTTAATTTGTTTCATTTGTGACCTCTGACCCCTCAGTGCCCTGCCCCCTCAAACACAGATTGAGAAAACAATCTCGCTCTGTGCATTTCCATCTTTTTGCTACGAGCCTTCGATTACTCTTGGGGTACTGTATGCTTGTTCAGTAAATAAATAACATTACAATAAAACATGAACAATACATATTAAAGCACACTTCATTTCAAAGATCACCTGGCATTACATAAACACCCTCTCAGGAACATCACAAAAATTAAAACAAAGTTAGGTCCCAATTTCCTCCACTGAACACCACATTTTCTGGTTCGCCCATAAACCCAGCTTGCAAGTTTTATAAACAGTGTAAAAATCACAGAAAATGACAAAATAATATAATATCTGTTAATGTTGTCTACTGCCTGCCTTCATTTCTTTGTTGTTTGCTTGTATTAAACAGTGCAAATGGTCATATTGAAATAGCACTGTAATAGATTCTAATTTCAATAACTGAAATTAGGAACTGAATCTAAAGTGTACATTTATGTGCAAGGAACTCAGGACTAAACCTTGTGACCTTTTGGAACAGACAGATTCAGACAGACTCAGCTGCAGTTTACTGGAGCATGAGAGGCAGTGCATCATGTGAGGAGTGATATTAACTGTAAATCAACAAAGGTATGTCAATAAACCAATGTCAACATCTCTGTCTGTCACCACTACATGGGTTTTACAATTCAACCTCACATCATCAGTCTATATCTGCAATGTTGGTGGCCTATTTTAGATACTGGGGCAATATTCACCCCATGTAGCCTCAGGATGTCCCGCTGAGAAAAAAAAAAAAAAAACTAACTGGGTGAAAGGACCTAATGGAGGCATTCTTCACAACATAGTCTTGAGCAGCATACACAGAGAACTGAGAGGGATTATCTAACACCCCGAGGTGCTGTGGGGGCTGTAATAGTGCAGTCTAGTGAACGACAGGGATGTTGTGCAAAAGCTGCAATCTACAGTGACAGTGGCTCAAGGAAAAGTGGCTGTCCTCAGTTCAGTTTTGGAGGGAAACTGTGAGACGGGGGGGAGAGAAATGGAGGGACAACAGTGAGGGAGGGGCACTAGCCGAGGGTGCATGGTAACTGCTGTCAGAATTAGGCAATCTGACTGTCGCCATTCCAAACAGGACGTAACATATCCAAGCGCTGGCATTTTACTGCTCCCTGTCAGCAGCAGGCCAAGGAGGGGGAAAAAATGCACAGAAATATCCTGTGAGATCATTCCTCAAAAGCATCAGACATGCAAGATGTGGCGCCTGATGCCAGTAGCTATCCTCACATGAATACATGCCGAGTGATGGGAGGGCAGCTGGGTGCCGCGTATGATCAGACGGGGGTTGGCTACAGGGTGACAACAAAGCAGGAGGCTGTGGCAGGAGACGATTAGGCTAATGAAATATAAGCTATACTTAATCACGTGAGCAGCACCAATATATTCCTGCAAGGAGCTCATTTACTACACAAAGTAGGGCTGCAACTACAGACCATTTTTTTATTGATTCTTTAACAGAGTTTCTTCTTATTATTGTTATCAATAATAATAATAATTAATTAAATGTTGGTCAGTCTATAAAATGGAGAGCCCATCACCATTTTCAAGAGCCTAAGTTGACGTCTCTAAACTGCCAATTTTGCCCAACCAAAAATGCACAAATATACAATGAGCATAAATATAAACCAAAGAAGCTGAATTGAGCGGATGATGAACATTTCTGCCTATTTAATTGCCTGCTGCTTGTCATCAGTGATCTGTGTATCAGCTCATCGATCAGTCATCACATCAGCATAATGACATTATGGCAGGTAGATGCATGTATTTAAGGTGGATCAGAGACAAGATGGAGTGATGTGATGTGTTTGCCGGGCAAGTCAGACTCACCTTTCACCAACAGTTCAGGCTCTTCCTCCAGGCCCATCTTATTCTTCTCAATGATCAGACTCTTCATCTCGTCAGGTGCCTCTGAGACAGTGTGTCTGCATGGAAGAGCAGAAAGAGATTGTACATAACTGTGCTTCACTCTCAACTCAAGTCTTCCCCTGACTACTCCCTCCCATTGGGTAGCTAATTGGCTCCCCGACACAGAGTTGGCTGTGACCCCCGCCCCTCATGTGACTCTTTGCCAACTACAATCCTCCCAGATACTCTTAGGTGGGGGGTCACACAAGGGGGACTGGAAGAAGTGCCACGAATATCTGTCCTCTAGCGTTTTCCCACTTTCCCTCCCAGCAGCACGCAAGCACTCAAACGCACGCTGATGCATACCACGCCACTGTGGACAGCTCGTCTCTCTTTTATCACTTTGGCCCGGCGAGCTGAGCAGGCGACTGAAAATAAACGTGACAGAGCGACGCCGGGCTGACTCCCAGCCAGCCGGCTCACGCCGGTCACAGGAAGGCAGAAGGTTCAAGAGGTCACAGCCTTGGATAGTTAAAACCATAAACATCAAAAACATCTGTAAATCTGCTGAACTGCTGTTCTTTCTTTCTCTCTTTAATGTCCCACGATAGTTTGCAGCCACTTCCACAGACAGTGACTGCTCAGCATCTGGTCGGACAATGTTGTGGACAAAGTCAGACTCATTATCTCAGGCCAAGGACCATTTCCAGTCTATTAGATTGTTCAGTGGTTTTATCTGTCCTCGTTTATTTATCTAATTACTCATTTATTTTCTGTGTTTCCTGGGTCTAACGAGGCTGTGAGGTACAAGTGACAAACCCCTCCTTCCTTCCTGTCCTCCTCCTCCTGGGATCACTGCTCAGGAAATGAGTCGAGCCCTCCCTCCAGGGTTACTGGCCTCCAGTTACCTACGCCTTCACCAGCTGATTTATGCAGTTATTGATCTGATAATTCCGGAAAGGTCCCGCCTCACGGAAGGCAGCAATAATCAATGAGTTTGAAGTTAGTCTTATCTGCTTTGACTCGGCTTACATGACTGCAGAAGCCATTTCCTTTCTTTCTGGCCTGATCCTGTCTATACCGCGGGTGTCTAGCTGACCTCTGTGGTGCGGCGTCTCAGTTCTATTATGCATACAACTCTTTATGAAGTGTATTTGCAGTTGCTGATTCTAACTGACTGGCATCTCTAATTTAAGCTAATGTTCAGACACAGTGAAACTCTATATGACGGGCCGATTTTTCTGTATGTGTGTATAAATTGGTCCAGGTCATCATCAGAAAGCAGAAGTGAGAGAGAGCCACTCAGGAGCCTGTCACATTATACTCAGTCATGCTGTATAACTCAGCCTGCTCGCCTGCAACAGCAGCAGCCTGTGGGGACTTCTGTCAGTCCCTGCATCCACAGACCCCACTTAAAGGCATTAAAATAAACATAGAAATGTGATGACATCTCTTATTCGAGGGTGTTAATAACCCCTGCTACATAACGTAGACATTCATGCAGACAGGCAGCCCAAACAGGACAGGGATTGGATCTATAGAAAAACTGCTCCCTGAGACAAGTACACAGCCTGGCAGACACGGTGGGCATGTTAATGTTAAATGCTTTGGATTACTGTGTGCTATTGTTTCAGTTTTTAAATATCAGCTTATTACACACTAATATTATAACTAGGCCAAGTCTGAACTTCCAAACGAGTGGTGTAACCAACAGCAGGATCTGAGCCAGCAAGCTTGGCTTTTACTTTTACAGTTTTATTGAGGACATGTTATGTGGTACACATGGTTATCTACGCTGGAAGAGTGTCCAAACAAATCTTGGCTCTCATGTCTGCAGTTTTGAGAAATATGGGCATTGTGCATGCAGCTAGCACAAGAACAAATCAGCTTTTTCTGCCTCCAAGGACTGTCCCCACCTAAATACCTTACAAGTCAAATTCAGTACTTTTGACCTTTAGAAGCACAGATGCCTGACCTTCAAATTAAATGCTGCTTTAGCAGAGTCACTGCGACTATTGTGTTCCAAAAGCCGAGCTAATGTCTGAAATCTCCTTTTGAAGCTGGCTACAGACCACAGCAGTATAATGCTATTACTACTGACAATCAGCTAAGTGTCTCATTACAGCACAACAACAAGCTGTCCTTGTTAACAAGATTCTTTTTTGATTGTTATTATTACAAGCTCAGTTTTGTTTCTTGCAAGATATTTATCATCTTTCATCAAGAAGTTCAAGAAGAAATCATATCAGCCGCCGCTGATTTGATCCTCTGAGCTCATTATCTATTTTCTTTGTTTTGGTTTTAGTCAAAAGAAACAAACAATTAGGGTTTTAATTCCCTTTTTGAGTTGAGTTGGTGGTTTTAATGTTTTTTGATTGACTTCTTGATGGAAGATGACAACTTATATCAACAATTTATCCATTATAAGGATAAGTTACTCTAAAAGCACATTAATTCCTAAAAAAAAAAATCAATGACAGCCAAAAAAATCAACAGAAAAAGAAATATAACACACATAGACACAGGAATCATACCAAAGTCTGGCACAAATACGCCTGATAGAACATCAGTTTTAAAATGATGTCGGTACAGATACCTAAAAACATTTTCATATGTAAATTGGGGTAACAGGTCATTTTCATTACAGCAGTCTGTAAGCTTGTAAAATAAAAGATGGTTGATAATTAAAGAAAAATTCTGTAAAGCTTGTGGGCAAATGTCTCAGTGCTGTTGATGTGGGAGCGTTGGATCTCCACAGCTGTCCAGCAGCCCTACAACCCCAGCCCAACCTCCACTCTTCCCCCGTGTGCTACCGCCCCCACATTCCCAGAAGCCCCAACAGAGGCCGTGACGGTGGGGCCTTTCGCGGGCAACTTCCTGTGGAGCGCAGGAAAGAATTTGACATGGGGATTAGACAGCACGAAGAATAGAGCGAGTGCACATCTACAGACAGCACCTCGCTCTCTCTCCCTCTCTCTCTCACTTGCCCTCCCCTCAAGGACAAAACATCAGCCGCTCAGGAGGAGAAGCATCATTTTAATGCCACATCTGCTGAAAATCAGGATTCTGCTCTGTGATTTGAGTTCAACACACTGCACGGTTTTAAATGTTAGTTCTTATGATACAAGAGGGAAAAGTGCAACACGCACAACTGACATTTGTTTAAGAAAGTGAAAAGGAAAAGGCTGGCAGCCCAGAGCCCATAGATCAGCTCAGAGCAGCAAATAAAAAACTGCTGGCTGCCCCACAAAGCATGAGAGGGGGAAGTCGTGAAAATAGGAGCCAGAAATGAAGAAACAGACTAGTGAGGGGAAGGGAAACATTTCCCTATATGCACACAACCACACAGATCTGATGCTATAATCTATCTATATAATCTAAAGCACATATTAACATCCTGTGCAGTTGCAACAGTGGTAACGTAGAGAAGTGACAGGCTGTATGGTGTAAGGCCAGTGAGGCCCTAAGATATGGTGATATGGGGCTGATGATTAGATGAGCTGTGTGACAGACATGTCCATCATGAATTGTCAGCATTAACAGCTTGTCCTACTTTTTCAATTTCACTTCTCTTCGACGCCATAGAAGTCATACGCTTGTGCAGTTAAAAGCAGCAAAGTGTTTGACTTGTGAGAACAGAAGAAGAGAGAACAACATCCAACACAAAGAGGAAGAAAATGATTCGAAACACAAACATTGTAATCATCACGATTGTTTCAAACTAGGCCAACTGACACCAACTGTCATATAGTCTACCTTTAAGTACTATTAGACTCTCCACCTGCGTCAATTTGGAAACCTGTTTCCTTTTTTTTTCAAACCCTTATTAAGTTTTATAATATTGGTCTACAAATATGACTATCTTATATTACTTCCTTAGAACAATTTCTGGGCATTTTTTTCCTAATTTGGGCTCATTTTACAAACAGCACAACCATGACGTAGAAGTAAAGAGAACTCAAAAACGTCTTTTGTGTAGCACATTGAAGTCAAATGGCCATAAATTATAGACGAAAGAAGAAAAAAAAAACGTTGAATTACTTTTTTTGATTACAATACTGAATGACAAATTGTGTTTCTTAATAATACAAATAATTTACTTCTTACATTTTTCATTTATTTCCAAACTTGTCTCCTATCGGCTCTGTGTAAACACTGCCGGCAGCTCAGCATAAAAGACTCTGAAGAGACTGAATTTTTGTTTCATGACTGTTGGTCGTGGCTGAGTCACTAATTGTTCATTTGTTGCACTGAAGAGTGCAGGATTTCTTGTTCTACAACAGAATCTGGTTCATGCCTGAAATTTGGAATGAGGCATTTGAAGTGATTTCGATCCAGATTTTAAGCTTACATTTGGATCATTTTCCCAACCAAATAGCATGTCAGGGATAGTTTAAAGATTGTTGAAAAGTTGAAAATCTGACAATTCTTTCTGTGTTTACAGCTTCTGGTACATATAAATGATATAATTTTGGCATTTAAAAAAAAAAAGATAACATGCCTTTCAAACCTAGCAGCGAGTTCAGAGGATTAAATCTTTTTTTTTTTTTTGTACAACACAACTACTTCATTACTGAAACACCCACGCAGGTACAGTTAAATTTAGCTAACCCTCTGATCAAGTTTAGTTGGGTGGAGATTCACTGGAAGTTATATTAGGTCACCAAATTCCATGTGCTAAAGAGAGAGAGAAACTAACTTGAACGTTGTCCCACCCTAACAAGTGCAACAAAACTACAAGGAGAGTCAGACAGATGTCAATCACATGCATTGTGTACACACCCACAAAAGACATCTAATCAGCCAAAGTAGGTGAAGCCTAAGTGGCTGCTTGCCAAGGCTTCGAGCTACCTTAGAGCAACTTTACGACCTGTAAATCTTGTCCTTTTATGACTACGACATTGATCTGTCTTACATGTTGATTATACGATGAGTAGTGAGTGCAATTTGCAATGACTACTTCATATTATCAAAAATAGTTCAGGAATCAGCGGTCCCGCCAACTTATGCCATGCAATTTTTTCCATTGTTTAGATCATAGTTACCAGCAATCGAGTTAGGAAAAACACTTCTGCCA